CAAATACAACTGATTCATAAAATATATATTTTAATGTATCTATATGTTGTATATAATATATAAATTTCTGAAAATGTAAGACAAATCTAATTTTATAGATAATTATTTGTTTATTTTTAAATCCATTAATAAAATAACTTAGTAGGTGGTAAATTATAGCATTATATATTATACAGTTGTAATGCAAATACATACACGAAAACCGCACTTTATGATATGACMAAAATCATTWATTACTTGATATGATATTAAAAAAAGTTGTGGTCCTCAGATGATTATCAACCGATGAACATTTTCAAATMCTTATCAATACATACACAGACTGCGTTGACAGTTTAATGGGGTTGTCACTTTCACCCGTTAAGGCGCAACGGGCTGTATCTATACGTCATGTTTAATTGTCGCGTATTTCGTCTCCAAACACGACAATATATAAAAAGGAAATATATTGCATATCCACTTGTTTTTTTTATTTTTAATATTTTCCATTGTCAACGGAATTCCCCGTCCGAGTTTTTCATTCATTCACTGTWTATATGTTTTTTATTTTTATTTTTTTTATCATCCCCAAACACACTCGATACTCGCGTCATACCTAACCCCTTTGGCCACAACTACCGTCGTTGTTGAGTATTTGTAGGGGAACACAAAAGCAAAAAGAGGGTTTAAAGGGCTGTTAAGAGATTRTGCGGGATTTTGATTGCACAAGTTGTGTTCCATGGTAAAAATGAAAGGACATACATAACACTCACTCATACCTACACAATATTATAATAGTAACCATGTCTAGTCATATACCTACATWTTTAACGAGTTGCTGTAACTGAAACGTATAAATAAGCCGTAAGAGTACGTGTGTAGATTTTTTGCTTTTATTTTTAATTAGTTTACTATTATAGGTACAATTTTCAACTAAAATAATAGTATAATATATTATTGAAACCTAATGCGATCGTTTGAAAAAATTAAGCGATAATTTTGTGTAACAAAACGTGCAAGAATTTATACCCGGGTCAGGTTATCCAACCCTACCGTTAGGATGCTTTGAAATATTCATAGCGTGAGTGTTAATGTTTAATTGTTGGTCTTAAGGTTGATTTGCGTCACGTCGAAATTTAAATGCAAATATAATTTAGATGAATTATTACTGAAAAGTAAATCTCCACTGCGTCCCACTGTTTGTACTGCCAAGTGTTTATTGCGCATGATGTTCAATATTGGTCATTCATGTTACGATCAGCAGCGGTGCAGGAAGATCATATTATTTTTAGCATTTTAATATTTTGATACGTATACGATGTGCAGCTTACGGTACATGCAAAATATATCGTACCGTTGCTACCAAAAGATATAATGGGATGCTGCGGTGGGACTCGGTTATATGCGTTTGGGAGCACAAATTATATCGACCCCGTTATTCAATTTTTTTTTAATGGTTATGATAATATTTCCGGAAATGTTATTTTATTCCGTGGACTCGAGTTTTCAAAATATTCATGCAATAGACGTGCTAAGAATCGAAAAGAGAATTGGGGGAAAAAGGGAAAGGTAAACTTTTGGCGGGAACCAGCCATGCCCATCGATTCACACTAACGGTATGGTCACGGTCCCTCGATGGGTAAAATATATCTATATTTGTATTATACGTAGATAWATCTTACCCATCGACGGACCATGTAAATGTGAATTGGTCTTTATAGTTATATATGCACGATCCGTCCGACGATAACAGTTACATCAATAATACAATACCTCAATGAGAAAAAATTCACTTCACTTAGTTTGTGGAAGTGTACAAACAAAATAGGTAACAATTTTTAGTATGATATGTTTCGACTTATATATTTTGTACTTTAGTGGTACTGGGTTAACGTATTTTATACAGGTTTCGGTGTTTTGTTCAAATGAATATTGCATGATATAGAACATGCATAATTAAAATTGATATGATTAAAAATAATGTGATGTGACTATGAAAGTGGTTTTTCCCATTAGGTCTCTTTTTAGAAAGGACCATTTAGTAGGTAGTGCCACTGCTACCATAATCCCAACAATAAATTACTAGATATCGTTTGATAGMTAAATTATACTGCACACGTACCGACTAAATATTAATTCATTAACGTTTGCACAGTATTGCAATAATCCTGACTGTTTAGGATGAAATTTGAGTATGGTTTTGGATAAACCTTTTAGCAATAAAAAATAATTAAACATTTCTCTAGAAAATTGAATTTTAGGTACCTATTCAACCGCGCTAGGTATTTATAATATACAACATCTGTTTATTGCAATGTTTGAATTATGTGCTTTCACTAATATTTATAATTATAAATTATTACGATGCGTGTAGTATTTTGTATTAAAAAACCATTAGTGTTACAAGTCGATAAATTATTTCTGAACTTAAGCGTTTTTAATAATTGGCCAGAAATTCGTATTCAAGTACTTTCATATTGTGTTAACGAATAAAATCATTTCAGTAATTATTTTAGTCGTCTGATATAGATCGAAAATAATAATCAATATACGTTGTCCACAGATTTTAGGTATATTGTATAGATATACCTAATAATATTATAGATGATATCATTATTTCGATATCATATTTATCTCGGTGCAAAAGTAATGGTGATGTATAAATAAGTAGGTAGCGCAATTGTTTTTAATAGGAAATATGATTTATTTTAATTTTTTTGATTCAAGTCGTTTTTCACTTTGACCCTGTCTTTCGCCTCCTCGTTTATCACGATAAATAATTCATTGCCTGAAAGTTATATACCACTCTCGCTGTTTGTCTCTGTCCGCTGTTTGGATAAGCAAAACAGCATCACCGACGACGGCGTTTGTAGATTTTCATTTTCCGAATCGACAGGCGCAAAATATAAATTAAAAATWCGAAGATAATTAAGTTTTCAAGGGAATTCACTTCAACCCTCTGGCTATAAAATATATAATATAGTATGTATATAATATATTTATATGTACATATAAATATTTAATATATATACGCATACACACACACATAAATATATATATATATATCCATGTTTATATGCATATAATAATATACTATATAATATTATCGGTACGTCCAAGCGTAGCGAAATTAAAATGGTGCGTAAACCATCGCCACGGATAAATAGTCACCTAAAAAATATTGAACAATATTTTTCCAAGCGGTATTTTCGACGAACGAATGGAATATCACCGTCGACATTTTTACGAGTCACAACCACCTATTCGAGTGCAGCTAGTGAGTACACGTGTAGGTACTAGAATATTGTGTATCTATACGTGTGGGTGTCACATACATCATTCAAATATCGTTCAAGCGCTTGATTTATATACAAACCCCGGTTTTTTTGGATAAAATTTGAATCACACACACACGCGCGTACTAATTTTCTATGTGCGTCTCAATGATACTAATTAACGTGTTGGTTATGTTTATTATTATTGCCATTTGGGCTTACAGGTACATGCATAGGTGCATTGTAGTGGGGCTGTATGGTAGAAGTCACGTATAAAACTTTGAAATWCGATAGAACTGAGGTAAACTCTTGTAATTATAAAACATAAACAATAGTGAAGTCCTGTTGCAAAAGCAAGGTAAATTATGTTTTTAATGTGTAAAACAGTTTAWCTACAATAATATAAATCATGTTTTCCATTCAGTTAATTAACTAATCAACGTTTAGGTGTCGACAAAGTATTCATTATGACTGTAMCATATTATACCTACGTATATAAATGCAATTGTCGTTTCATTCGGCTATCGAAATTACACAACGCCATTAAAAAACAGAAATATCCGTGAATTTTACAAAACGTGTTCAGTGTTCATGACACATTAGTAAATAATATGTATATAATGTACTATAAGTAAATAATTAGGTACTAAGATTAAGTAAATATTTTTGTCTGTTTTTATATTTAACATAATATTGTTATCATGTTCTTATTATAATTCTTTATATCAACAATTATGTTATTTTGAGATCATATACCTACTAAAATGCAACGATATTTTTAAACATTCGTTTGTGCATTATAGTAATAACTCAAAATAATACACTACTGCAGGGATTGAATTTATTTCCTTCAATGTTGTACCATRYTATATTTTTTAACGCTTTCAGTTTTACCAGTACGAGATAATACACTAGTGAAAAAAATGCTATTTTTACCAAAAGAAAACAAGGATAACTTAAAATCGTCATTTTTGAGTTACACTAAAGTAACTACTCACAGTGCGATATGGTTATTTGGCGATGTAGTTTTTCTTAAAGCAATTTATTAAGTGCAAATTAACGGAAACAAAAAATGAAATTATTTAAATAAYCCGTAATGGTTAAAAAATAATTTAATAATAAAATACAAAGCAAAGTTATCAATTATTATTATGACTGTGAGAAAAAAAATTAAAAAAATATGATTTAAATCGGAAAGCTTACTTCACGCTAATGATCGTAATTACCTATGATGATTTTAAAAACTTTAAAAAGAATATATTTCAATTTGGAAACTCAATTTCTTATAATTTTATATATATATATATATTTTTTTTATGTTAAATAATCAACATAAATTATTACAGGTATTTTAAATCAGTATTGCCTTTCTTTAATAATTCACTGATTCAAATAGTTAAATCTGACGAACCTAATATTTTAAATTGTCGTGGAATCATACTGTAACTAAGAACAAAAAGTTAATGTTCAATAATTATGTGAGATAATTAATAAGAAGTACCTAGTACGTTAATCAAATTATATCACTTTGAGAACTTTGAAAATCAGAAATCGATAATTTACATATTAATAATAAACTAATCTGAAAGTAAAAACTGGCGTCTATTCATATAATAAAATATTATTTATTTATATAATTTCTAGATTGATTTAATTCCAATAAAAATTTTATAAAAGTGATTTGTATTCTTCAAATTCAAAAGTTGTTACTCATAGATAGGCAACCATTGATCATTAACAAACTATCTTATACTATTAATTGTTATAATTTGTATTAAACATACATTAATGGATACTTATATCATTAAGCTACCTAGTTAACATAATTGACTATGATTTTTTTTTAAATATTTTAATTTTAATTTATATTTAAAGTTCTTATTATAATAAAATAATTTCTTAACAGAATGTATTTCTGAAAAACGCCTATAAYGGTGTTTGTAATGGCACTCGATGTTTAATGTGAACCAAAGTGTTTTACTATAGAAAAACTTGATAAAAAATACTTGACTTGTRAGTGTACAATAATTTAATTTCTGGCGGATACTTAAATTTTAAAACATTTTTATTTTCAATTGCCCAATTTTAAATAATATACTCAAATGCCCAAACACTACATGAAATGTTTTTTTATGATTATTTGGTTATAATTATAAACCTATAAATGTGCTTTAAAATATATATTTCAGTTAGTTTTATCTTTACATGAAGTGTAAAAAATATTGTTATTCATGTCAAATATGAAATGTTTTTAATTGCTTTAAGTTACAAGAAATTATTTTGACACAATATTGCCATTTATTATTGAAATTGGTTAAAATTCAGATTTTATCCTCTGCTCAAGTATGTCCATTGTGTCACTGTCATTGTTGAGCTGAYGCATAAAATAATTTAAAATTCATTCTTCGGTCATTGGAAAATAAAAATAATATTACCGTACCTACTCATTTTATTATGTATATAAAACATTTAATTCGCTTATACGTTTCGTTTTATACCGTATAGGGTTTGAAAGTATTTAATGYGATAAAAAAGTACGTAATGTTAGTTGTTACACTTTGAGTAGATACTAGAATTYGATATTTTGTTATATCGTTTATTAGTTGTTTTTTATTTTTATAATTCAAGGTTTATATTATGAGTCTAAATTTATATTAAAACTTGTAGTTTTTAACGTGTAATTTGACACTAAGATATATGTTTTAACTTTTAAAAGCGAAAACTTAAGTGAAAATCATTAAAATTAATAAAATAATACGCTTAAAAGCTGAATTTAACTTTAAAATGTGTTTGTCACCTAATTTTTGTTGTAATAAGATAATAAGTTATTTTTTTAATATAATTATATAATAACAATTGAAAACTATTTTATTTTATCTTACTTTTTTTCAACTTTGTTAAGACTTATCAATTTTTATTGAAAAAGATAAGTTTATAAAATTTCCGGCTTCCAGTAAAAATTGAATCGTTTTCCAACTATGTTATGTACCTACTCGGTAATACGAATATTTTAAAAACAGATAATGAAACTTTGTGCTGTTGCACTAATTCAACTAGACGGTTTCCATTCAATTTGATTTWTTTGCGAACATTTTTCTACGCACAACAAACAATTATCTAGCTCGATTAGCAAATCTAATAATTATTGCTACCGCTGGATTTAATACTTTTTTTGGCACACAACTATTTTTATTACAATTCTTATATTATATACCATCAGCTCTGGGAACTTAATCTCTCCAGGCACCAAGTAGTCGCTTTTTGTGAGTTACATTAGGYCAGAACTTCCTGCCATTCTCTTTATTTCAAATCACTTTAAACTTCCCTCTTTCCTTGATCTACCCACTACCTAGAAACCACGAGACTTTAAGCACATAATTTTCAATTATCTTTCGGTTTAATATARAACACTTGTTTTTATTTGAACGCGCATAGAATTTTCCAATTGCGCTGCCAGTATAACACCTACATACAATTTAGGATTACTGCTTTATATTTGGCTTTTCTGACCAATGAATAATAATGTTCGTATTTTCTCACAAAATGATTTTTTTTTTTTTTTAATAAATAAAAACTTTACAGATTTGGAATTTTGATTCATTCTCACACTTTTATACRTATGATCTTTTCTTGATTTACATTCTTATCGTRTTTATATATAAAATAAATTAAGTAATATGATTATGGATCGCTCATTTATGTTTCTTGAAGATTGTGTAAGTATTAGGTATATTCAAATGTTTATACAAATTGTAAAAGTATAAGAAACTGTTTGATATTAAAATGCACTAAATAAGTTAAAGAATTATTATATGAATAATATGTGATAATAATTACGTACTTGCTTTACAATACTTTATTATCTGTGGTCATCATTATAGATTTTAGATTTAAGGAGTAGTTATCTCTTAAGTTAATTGTAATGTAACATATGTTTATGCTACTATAATATGTGCCTATAGTAATTTTATTTATTTAAAATATAAAATAGTTCCATACAACAAATATCATATTAAAATTGAAGGTGATACAAAGTCATCACATTAGAGAATAAAGAAGTGAAATGACTCAAGTATTCCTACGAGTTTAAGGAAAATTTTAAAGTAACATAAATTACTAATACACGGACCTGTGAAATATTATAGGTAAAACAATAACAATTATATTGACACAAAACAATACGTGTTTACTATGTGTAGTTTAATGAATTTGTCAATGAACAGGTTCATTATTGAATATTTTTACAACTATAAAAATGTTTATAAAATAACATTAAACATCATGAGTGGAAAAGTAAATTTTTAAACATCATTAATTTAAAGTGTACAAAAATTAACAATATAAAACAATGTTTACGTTTATACAACTGTATTAATTAGTACCTAATTTATTTTCCMGATAACTATTTTTATAGTTACATCTTGTTTGCTTGCGTGACAATAAATATTATTACTGCTGAAACTATATCATATGATTAATTTAATTATACTATAGAGGACATTATTTTTAGTATTCTTGAATCATATATATTATGTGAAATATATAACCCTTATGTTTATATCTGTATATACATTTTATTAAATTTGTATAGGTTTTTTTTTTGTATTTGGGATTATTGATTATGTCAAAACTTTTTTTCAAACTTCCATTGTAATATATATATATTATTTTAAACAAAGCATTATTATCTTTGTGTTTGATATATTTTATTTTACGATAGATATATTTAAAGCTCAAAATAAAATAGTGGAATGTCACRATTTCTGTTACAACATAACAGCAGTAAATGTTAAATTCTAACAATGGAATCTGTGCGTCTTTTGATGCTCATAATCGTCAATTCAGTAGTTAAATAGAATATATATTTTATAATATATCGAGGCAAATGACGTAAATATAGAAGGGAATTTGTAATATAACCAACGAATAAATTAGCTTAACYAATGCTCCCCTCTGCGTTTACACAACCATTTAGTTTGCGTTTCAGCGTTTCTTGTGAATTTAGACACAATCCAACAATTATTATTTACACCCTGCACAAATATAATGTATCCACACAGGCGATTATGACTTTTTGTCAAGTATTTAATATTGTTCTCTGAGTAGTTTTTTTTCATTATTCAAATTTCATATAATATGTCAACAACGTTTTTGACAAATATAATAAGTGACAAATCAACGGTGTCTATCTTTGAAAATTAAAGGACGTGTTGATGTGATAAATTTATAATAATAATAACCAACAAAACGTTTTTTAATATCAAATATTTAAAATAAAATAAAAGTTATAGTCACTGTGGATGATGATGCAATTGCCTACTATCAGAACTTTATAGATAGCAGGTATCTGCAATGTCAATCTGRACTTTGATTGCTGGTGACTCTAAGATATATTTTTAATATTRAGGGACCATAGTTAGTCGGTAAAATGTTTAGTTAAATRACTTGGRTAGAGGAAATTTAAAATTGTTTTTGAATTAACGAAGACTGATTTATCCAACACATTGTGCATACCAATAAAATACGTTCGTGCATAATACGTATTTATGCACACAAGTTAAGTATGAACGAATATTTTAAAAGCTTAACTTTATTCTATGATATGCCAAAAATATCTGGATCCTTTATTTTGTCTGTTTCTTGAAGTAAATATCAAATTATTATTAAAATATGTGAGAATTTTACAGCAATAAATTTAAAAAAAAATAATACTATTCTTGGACGACAGACCAACCGGCAATTTCGGGCCGGTAGGTCATGGTCGCTTGTACGTTACTTGCCTGGAACCGTTGAAATGGCCGGCGTTGACTAGCCTGTACACTTGTAATTCCACACGTTTGTCGTACCCGGGGTCAAGCGTGTACCAACAGGAGTTCGGGCCGGACAACGCGGGAGATTTGATCTGGCCGAACGTCGAGTTTGAACGGGCCAATAGCATATCAGCTTTTATTGTGACGTTGCACACTGAAACATAAGGACGACGTTGTTAGGTATTGTAATATCAAGGACAACATAATATAATATAAAAGCTCAATAATGTTATAATAGCACCGAAGATGATAAAATCCCCTTCAATAAAATCGATACATTGGTATACACAAGTGGGCAAGTTGATGAAAAAATTAACTTAGTTAGTAGGGCAAAATAAACGTTTACATTGTATAAGTTAATAGTTAATTAACAAAATATTTTTCTTTAAAGTTTAAAGTCATTACGGAAAAGAATATTAAATTTTTTTATTTATTTATTTTTTGTAATCGCCTGGGTCACAAATTATTATAACTGTGCTACTTTCGTGTTTTTTCAAAAATAATAACYAAATATTTAGTTAAGAGTTGGATTCCCTATCTTTGTGTTCAGACAACTACCTAATTAACGTGTTTTATAAGGTAAATAAAAATACTCTCACGCTTTTTTTGTTGATTTGGAATTTACGTCCAATTCTAAAGAAATTGTTCAACTGTCTTCACTTCTACATAGTAAAATTAAAAACGAAAAACCTTATAAACCAAAAACAAGAAACCTGCAATGTCACAATTGCCAACAATACGGCTACACATAAGCATATTGTGGCTATCTGCAACCTCTGACAATCTACTCGTAGCTTCTGTAAACYTTCAACCTATCTAGACTATAYGGAGGACTGGTATACCAAATCTATATTTAAAATAAACCATAGCAAGTCTTTTCAAATCAACTTTACATTGRGACTAGCTCCTCCCTTGAGGTAATTTTATAAAATACTACAATTTCATCCTCTCCTACAAATTAAACACTTTGGTTTTAAAAGATTAACATGGGCACACTATATTGGAGCTAAAAGACTTAAAACTTAAATAAAATTCAATCCTTTCAAAACATTGTCCTATGAAAATTAATAAATGCTTCCCACTACATATCAAACTATACTCTTMATATAGATCTGAAACTAAAAACAATCCACACCTATTAATAAAAGATTTCACATTCATTGTTTCTCCCACTCAAACCCATTAATTAAAATCCTTTTCTTCATAACAATCCCAGATAGCCTTCCCAAATGCTTAAAATGTAAATGGTGTAGACCTTTTACAATTTTAACGATAATATGTCATCAATGGATGCGTTTTTTAATCAATGTATTATAAACTCATGTTATCTGTCTAATATCTACTGTTATAAATTGTATATTTTGACTTGAAATAAAAAAAAAAATAATAATAATAATATATATATTTAATTATACTTAAATGCATTCTATACTATTATTTTTACTTGGATACTGTCGTAATTCATTAATTAATATAACACATTTATGGCAAATAAATTATTAAACTGTTGAATATTTATTTGTTTATTGGTGTTTAAGTGCATTGCATGTACACGATGTTAGATGATTAAATTATAAGCAATTAACTAATTAGTTTTAACTGCAGTTCTAATATATTTTAATATATATAAGTAATAGATACTTTCTCCAATTAATTAACTGGAAAAAAAATTTGTTTGTACTTTTTGCAATAGATTTATTAAATAGTTAGTTAATTAACTACCTATATTTAACTGATTAGAGAATTATTTAACTTGGTGATTAGTAAGATTAAAAGTGAAAACAAATTATACTAGTTAATAGTTTAATACTTTATGATCCACCTTTGTTGTTATATAGTTGATGATGATCCGAATGTATACTGAATAATTTATGAATCACGAAATTGACTCTACCGAGTCAATGTACTATAATATTAAATCAATTTTGGGTGTACAAATATACAAGGTGGTTAAATTATACATATTGTATTATTTTTATATAATTAAATTTATGACAAAATGTATTTTGAATCGCAACAATCTCTAATAGGTGTATATGAGAATGTAGCCACTGTACACCTAGTTGGACGTGACACACTTTTACTCACACACGTTATTTTGTTTAAGTGCAATTACTAACCAACAGTTAGTGTGGTGCGCTCTCGAAAGATTTTTCATATCGAATGGTAAGCAACGCAATTCAATAAAGCTCTAAAATTTCAAAAAATAAATTACTGGTTCATGTATTGATAATAACATCTAATGAGTTGAACATAATTTGTGATTTTGATCTCGACAATTCAATATCAAAAAGCGATTGCTACTTTTGACTACAGTTCTTTTGAAATTTAACGTTATGGTATATTCGTATTAGGTATTCAGCGACTATGTGCTATAATATACGAATCACGAAAGATAAATAAGATATAAATAATATCAATATTTGACTAATAAGTATAACAAAAAATATGTTATATAGGTATGTATTATTACTTAATGCAAATTCTAAAAATATTGATCAAAAAATTCAAACTATTTAAAACGGATTATTTAATACATAATATACAATTTATAAATTATATAAAATATATATTRATTCTAAAAACCAGAGCTATATGTTATTTATTGTTATATAATATTAGGTTTAAAGTGCACCTATACCTCGTCATTATATTAAGTTTAAATTCAATTAACTACTGTATATGAAAAATGATTCTGAGCAGAAATGGTATTCTAAGCTTATTTATAAGAATATTTTATAATTTATTAGTGGACTATAATTAATTTTTTTCTACAATAAATTTGGTCGGTCGAGATAATTTCTGACACAATGTGATAAATAAAAAAATTATTGTATTCTATATTATTATTGTTGAGCTATAAGTCAGTAGAAAGATACCATAGAGTGATAGAATAGGTACGTAGCATAAAAATAGCCTGGAATCTGTTTAAATGCGTTGACAGTAATTTTACTGTAAATAAAAATTAAAATTAAAGTAACACTGAGATGTTTTAAGT